TGAGATCTGATTCCAGATTCACTCTGAAATATTCCTTAGCATGGAGAGAGCTCAGACAAATTGACTCCAAATTGAAATATTTTGCTAGCTACTACACCATGTGTTAAGCATTACGCATTAAGAAGAGAAATAAAATATGAATAAGTACTAATAAAAACATAGTGACATAGTGGCTGCATGGAAAATGAGTCTCATGTCCACCCTGTGTGTGTGTGTGTGTGTGTATGTGTCCCACAATGTAATAAAGGCAGGCAGGCATCTAATCAAGGGTGAACCCATATGGACTTTTCTAGGGGTCGGTGCCCAAATTTGGCAGGGAGGGGGGGGGGTTTAATTTGTCATTTCTGTTGCAGGCAGAATAGCATAGAGACTGTACCTGGTCAATGATGACTGGTTCCTGTCTGGCAACACGACACTGCAAAGGACTCGGCCCTGATCTGAGCTGGGACAGGGTGCAGGGCAAAGATGCCTTTTGCAAAAAAGTATACAGTTCTGGGAGTTATAAAACAGTGAACAGGAGAAAAAAATTGGCTAAAGGGTGACAGGAGAAAAAAAGCAAGAAAAGAGGATGTGCTTTGCTCAGCAGATTGTTTTGATGTTGACACATATGAAAACATAATGTGAAAAAAAACCATCAGAAGGAAAAGTCAGACAGCCAACCTAGCTTTTGTGTTTGATAAGAGCATTTTTGATGATAAAACAAAAAGCTAGAACAGATTTTAAAATGACAAAAAAACAAATCTATTAAAAAATGAATATAGCTTTTAGAAACTGTCGACTTTCTGCTATCAGGTAATTTTTCTTGATGTTTTACCATCTAAAAAAACTGCAGTCAAGTATAATATTTATGGGGTCAAATATAAAATCGGCATGTTATACAGTTTAGGTGTGGAAACGATTCAAATGGTAAATATGTTGCTGAAGCACCTATACTGTAGGTCACCAGTGATCTATGTCAACATAAGCGGAAGCAAACTGAGAGCATATTTAACATTAATGTAAAGTTATTACGAGTTAATCTTATTTCTTATAATATAAGAATTGTTACCACATTTTTAAAGACATACATTTTCCTTTGCCATCCAAACACTAGTATTGTTCTAGTATACTGTCACCAACATTCAGTCATAGACACATACTGGTCTGTTAAAAACCAAAAAAATTGCATGTGGTCAGGTTTTACATACTCTGCAGTGAAATTTATTCCCAAAAGATCTAAAAAAATCCACATTAAAAGGAATATATTTAAAATGCAGCCAAATCAATCTCCCACTTAATGGAATATTGGCCATATGTGTTTGCCTGAGTCCATGTGCGCTTCCGTTTATGTTAAAGTACGCAGATCAGAAGCATGACTGCCTTTAAAATTCAGCCAACATGCACCGTTTAAAAGAGCGGGAAATCACCCGGAAATGAGATTCATGTGGTTGTCAGGGCGATGGGGCATGCTTTGCCCTTGCCATCAATTCTGATAGGTCGAGCGGAATTTCAAAGTGACAAGCTCTGCTCAACCGAAGGTCAGAGGTGACGCCAGGCCTAGAATTTCAAAAGCCGGTGGCCTTCGCACACCGTCACCGCTACCCTATTTGCAGCTTTCCATTTTCCATGCTTAGAATAGCCCCATATTAATATTGCAAACCGAACGGGGAGGGGGGTGGAGTTCACCATTGATTGTTATTGCCTGTAACCAGGATAACAGTGGTTTGGTGATTATCTGCCCGAGGGAATCTGCTATCTGCTAAGCGGGGGGAAGAAGGAGCTTCATTACAGGAGGGGGGCAGTCATTGCAGAGAGGCTGCGAGAGTGATGGGAACTTCAGCAGGCCTGGGGGCAAGACAGTGCTCAGCATAACCTCCCCCCCCGCATCCCATCTCCCACCAATTTCCTCTCCTCCCTTTCCCTCCCTCACTGCTGCGTGTCAAAACGATCTACATATCCCACTTACACTCAATAAGGCAGACTGCTTAACAAAAATAAAATACAAGAAAAATATCAGTGTGGGCGTGGCCTTCCTGGAGTGGGCGTGGCCTTCCTGGAGTGGGCGGCCTTCAGAGTGGCGGCGTGAGGCAGCCCGGCCTCCCCTCTGCTCACGGCAGCAGTGGCAGCACACAGCAGCACTCTCAGGCCCCTAATAAGATGTGATTTTATTAGATAAGTGAGATGAAGTGACTGCAGTTAATAAATAATTCAGTGTTGGTGTTCAAAGTCTGCAGGGATGCTTCCTCGGTAGAACATAAAAAATACTCATGTTCTAAACTGATTCCCAGACTCTCCCAAGCTGCCATTCACATAATTACCCATCATTATACATTTATTTTTCCAGAATAAATCTGTGTAAATAATTGCATAAATGGCAGGATTTGTATCTTTTTTTTTCTTTGAAATCGTGAAAATGAACAGTGAGCCAATCCAGGGAGCGCTACCCATTCTGTAATCTTAAAGACTTGATACCGACGTGCAATTAATGGAACTATGTTTGTTTCCGCACAAGCTGTCAATGGGCAAAAAGTGAAAGTGCGAGATGCCTAATGAGGGTGCAGAAGGAATCAGAAGGAATCCTTTTCTCAGTTTGATTAACAGCACCAAAAATGTTTAGGCATTGCTGCCTCGTTTACAAAGAAAACAACTAACCTGCTGATTACTATTAAATCCAAATAACATAGCATCCCACAATTCAGTGCCAAAGCGGGAAGGTTTGGAAACAGATGGCTGCTGTATGCTGTAAAGGCCCTGGGTAGATTCAGATATAGATTACAGCTGTCCTGTGTCTCAAATGTGGTGACGCGCAAATCGTTGCGAAGCTTGATTGAGAGGTTTATGGAGAAATCACAGCTAAGTGGACTATAACGCAGCATGTAACAACAGAAGATCATAACGTGCTTGGAGCCCACAATAAAACAATGAGCAGAGGGAACGAGACAGGGACATGCTGAATGGGACTCCAGTCCAATCCAAGGTACACTCTCATGAAATAAGGGTAATTACCCTTAACAGCAATTACCCTAACCCCACATTTTTGGACTATGGGAGGAGAAAGATGTATCCAGAGGAAGCTCATTGAAACTTGAGGAGAACTCAACATACACAGAAGGAGCGGGGATCAAAGCCCCAGTCAGTAAGCCAACTATCCGGCTAACAGTGTCACCCATCCGTACATCTGGGAAATCACACATTGTAGCAATCAGGGCCCCAGCCTCACAGCTCTCCAGGAATGTGAGTCTACAGCACACCGGATTACAGCCATAGTTATAAATAGGTAAATGTCACATTAGGCGCCAAGAAGAGAGTGCAATGGATCCATTAAGTCCTCTGTGAAACAGCAGAAGCTCTGCTGCATATGACCTGTCCCACCCACTATTGTCCCCAGTGTCAATGCAACTACCTTCCATCTAAATGGCAAAAAAAAATCTCATGCATAAATATACAATTGTGCTTGCCGTGGTGATTGTGTCTGGATGATGAGCGAGGGAACCACAAAGCCCAAAACAGGGAAGTTTGTCAAATGTAAGTATATAATGTATTAGGTTTGGCTATCCTATCTTAGCGATAGGTCCTAATGTCACTATGCTTTATGTTATAAGCTGTACAGTAACACCCACTCATCTGTGGTTTCAGTATCTAAGGTTTCAAAAACAAAAAAAAAAGCATTCCTGAAATAAATAGTTGATAAGTTTCAATTGTTCTATTTACACCATATTTCTGTTCTAACTACAGGTTATGTACAGGTAGATTATACAATAGTTTTTATTGTAAAATGTGTAACAGTAGCCTATGCTTTTCATTGTTTCTTCATCCTTTACAGTACAGTATATACGGGGTCCGTGGATTGTTTGCTATTATCCGCAGTTTCAGCTGTTTGCAGCAGGCCTTGGAATGTAACACCCATGGATACGCGGGGCTACTGTACACTGGACTCCTGATATTCAACACTGCAGCAACAACAAGCAAACAATGTTCAGGATCAAAGAAAGTAAATTCTAGGCCCATGTTGCCACAGGATGTCAAAGTCCAAAGGCTCACCAACAATATCCTCTTATACCACCAACCAGTTACACTGAAGGACATCCAGTGTGTTATGTTTACAATGTGTCATGCATACAGAATGATTTTAACCTTTAAATGCTGAGTTAGTACACACAAGGGACAATTACAGGCTCTTTGACATATGCTAACATACACTAAAGGACATCCTGATTTTGCAGAGTTCGACATGTGCCTGGATCAACAAGGGAGAGACTTGCATTTCACTTCTTTAACCAATCACAGTTTTCAACGTATGACATCATCAGGCTGGTCTGTTTTGTTTTTTTTTTTCATTTCCAAACTCAAGGCTTCCAGCCATCCAGTCACCCAGCGTGGGGGGCGTGTATCTCAGGGGGCTAAGCCTCTCTGCCTGTGATGGAAGGATGGTGGTTCAAACCTTGTTATTATTATTTTTGTTGTTATTACTATTATCATCATGAAGTAAAGATGCACCCTTACATTGCTCCCGGCAGCCTTTGCAGGTACTGTAAGCACATTCCTATGTTTAGTATCTATGACATGTCCCTAAACAAAAGGCATACAGAATAAAACAGGAAGATCTGTGCACCTTGCCCCTTAACACAAAATGCTGGTTTTAATGAATGTGGTGATGTCATACGATGAAGACGGTGATCGGTTATTGAAGCGAAACGCAAGCCTATCCCTTGTTGACCCAGGGATATACTAAACTTGGCAGAATCAGGAAGTGCTACACCAAATGCTCCCCCAGCAGAGCAACAGAGAAATCTCTGTCTCATTGACTGTGGAGCCTGCAATAACAGTGAAAACACTTGAAACTTCACAAGCAGATTACGGTATCCTTACACCATAAAGATAACTGTGCTCAAAATCAGCTTTCCGTGTGGGTCAATAATTTAGCGAGAAGCCGTTCACAGGAAAACGGTCTTTCACACCAAGCTGTTTTTTTTATCACAATGAGAAATAATCAGTACGGGTTACAAATGGCAGCAGCCCACCTTAAAGAAGGTCATGGTGGAGCCATCTTCTACCACGCCATACTCGATCTTGGTCTGCTTAGCGAGGTCGTCGGCGGAGTCGATGGGCGACTCCATTCGCTCCACGGTGAGGAAGGCTGCGAGGTTAGCGGTGTAGGAAGAAATGATGATGAGAGTGAAAAACCACCAGATGCCCCCCACTATCCTGGTGGAGAGGGCTTTGGGCATCAGCTCTGAACCTGGCAAGGAGGGGGGAGCAGAGAGAGACGTCAACCCGTTTTGCTCTGGCCATGGGTCACTCAGTACAAGACAGGGCTTCCTTACAGATCACACCCAGGATATCTCCAGGAGGGTAGACCCCAGCCAGGCCTTGCTTTAGTGACACAGACCAGACTAGATGTTGGGTGGTTTGAATATGGATATCTGCGTTTACTACCTTCAACACACACAGTTAACGGCATTGTAAAATTACCATACAAACAAGTTAACACATAGATTCTATGCTGCAGTTCACCACAAACAAGGTAGGAGAAGGAGCCCAATATTTTCATCCCGTAGATTAATTTTAAACTGACAGGTGTTTATGAGTCATCTACCTCCTTTAAAATTCATATTATAAACAGACTTCACAGAGCAAGCACTCCCCTGTGGTGTGTCTCTGATGGTGAGTGCTTCTGGATTCATTCTGGAGCATGAAACATGGAGTCCTACCCAAATGGTTACTAAGTGTGTTTTCAAACCACATCAGGTATCTAGGCGTGACTCTGTTATGTTGAGATCTGTTATGTTTGCTTTGAAAAATCTTCAGCTGGATAATGATGCTGACGGTGTTCATAAGCTGGTGATTTCAAGTAACTGCAGAAGGCATTTTCATAACTTTAAAATGGCACAAGGCAGTACAGAGGTGGAGATGGCTGAATCATGTATACATCTGATAAATAAATTTCAGACTGCATCAGGCAGCTTCCATTGCTTAACCGTACACCACTTCAAAAAAAGTAGACGTCACTTTTGTAAGCATCTGTAAGATGTGTCAATAGTGAAGCACAAGGCTTTGGAGCAGAAACTTAAATTTATAATTGGCACTAAATGTTCCTGCATTGCTTTGGTTTCTGAGGACATTACACTGGCATGTCTACATCATTATAGACCAGCGTAGTGTTTGTTAAGGCAGTCTTAACCCTCATTGTTCTATGCATTTGAATGATCCTTTACAGTAACATTTTCCTGTAATATATTTTAATGTGTTGATATCTGAAATATTGCAGCCAGATTTGTTTAAACAACAGTGGCACAATATATCTATCTAATAAAATGAAAAGTAACTTCTGGATAATTTTAATTTATTTGTCAGATTAATATTTGACTCTTTCCAAGCTTTTCTCTAGCTGTCCAGGATCTTGCTAGTCTTAAAAGAAGTTTTGAAATAGAAAATGAAACAAAAAAACAAAGAATACTTTTATATATAGCAGTCCCACAGTCCCAAGCTGACTAAATCTAGCAATTCACACTCATTTCAGCTCCGCGTTTCTGGCTGAAGTTGATTGCCCATGAATCGATACTGGGGTTTTTTTTTCAGATAAACAGTTCAATAACACAGGAAGGGTCCATTCATTACACGGCAGTGCATATGGGGAAAGCACAACCTGAAAAATCAGCAGCAAAAACATGATGGACTTCATTATTTATAAACAATCTTAATTGCACTTCGTTTAGAAACAACAACCACAGCAACAATACCAATTATATTGTGTTAAAATAGCTTTAAAACATGTTTAAAATCTTGATTTGCTAAAAACGAGAAAGTCGTTGCTTCTTTACATAAAGCCACCTCCCTAACTGTAGGTCTCCAGGTCATCAGAAGAATTTGTAATTTCAAGCAAGCCTCATGAAGGATGAGCGGGGCAAGGTCAAAGGTCACACTGGAGCTGATGGAGTCAGGCCAGGAGATGAAGGACAGTCCATGGAAGGACAGTCCATGGAAGGACAGTCCATGGAAGGACAGTACAAAGTCAACATTATTTTTCTCAAGCAATCTAAAGCTCTTTTAAGTTGTAATCTTACAAATTCAGGCAAAAGGACTGTGGGAAAGATCTTTGCTCTTTGAAGTGACCCTAGTGTTTTTCTTTTATTTAATTTTTGAACATCTCCTCAGCGCCCTCGTTATGACTTCCTCACAGTCCGGTCTAGAACCTGTCGCTCTAGATACAAGCCTGGACATGACAGCCACCTCCACCTTCAGACTTCTGCCTAGAAAGCTGTAAAGGAAGAGAGAGACGTGCCTGCTGCCTGGTCAAGCCAGGCAGTTAGACATGATTCAGCCAGGAACACGATTACCCACCATAACCAGCGGTCTGCACTGCCCTTTGAAAACAAGACAGGAAAAAAACAACAACAACAAAAAACGAAAACAAAGAACAAAAAGAAAAAAAAACTAAGGAGCAAGACCAGGGAAGGAGAAATGGTGGAAGATCCACAAATCCCAGCTCACGTCTTACCCCCATGTGCTTGAAAGCCCCAAGCCGGCCCGCATTAGGCCAGGTGCACCACAACAGAACCTGGTTGGGGCTGACTGTCATGTACCCAAGGTAACGTCATGTCCAAAACACCACATCCCACAGTTTTCTGGGGGCTAGCAAGCCATGAACACGGGAGCCTCTCTACACTGTAGTCCTCAGCAGCCGTGTGTGTTTGCAAGAAGGGGCGTCATGCTGTGGGGGGGAACAGTGTCTGAAATCCTTCAGCCTGCCCTCCCTCTCTCCCCCAGGTCGGTCCATCTCCAGATCTTCTCAACATCACCTCAAGCGGATTCGCATCTGCACTGTGTCACCAAAGTACCCTAAGTATATCGAGACTACCATGAGCAGGTCACAAGTAAAAAGATCAAATGAACAAGAAGAAAAGGACAAACAGTCCATCCATAAGAACGCCCCTTAAATGTTCAGAAGTGTATGAAATTTTATTACAATGGTATGGTGTATTTATATAAAAAAAAAACATTAAGTATGTTCTGGATTGACAACTATCTCCATAATGAAGATATTGGTTAAAATATTAATTCTCTAGTCACCACATATAAGTGAGGGGACAATGGACAATCCCATTAGATTACACTTTTGTAGTTATTTACTGCAATTCCATCACAGGCTTAAAATCTAGTCTGGTCTTCGCCCTTGATATTATATTCATTATCATTCTTAAATTCTGCACGACAGAATAATTTTACCATGCGTCATGTTTGTTGTGCATGCAGGAATGGGCCATGGAGTAACTGCCAGCCACATTCTGCTGGACTTCAAATACGCCAAAATGCATCAGTAAAAGTTCAGCTCCCAACAGATGTCTGGAAGCCTCCTGTCTGTACGCTACATTCGCTTTCAGAGCAGGCTCAACAGAAACCATGCTGCCTTGCACACTTGTCATCCTCAGCCTCCGATATGTTGCATCAGCCAACAACATGACTGTACTGACTGGCGCTGCGCTTACAATGCAACATATCTCATTGGCATGCAGGTCGGAAAACGCATTAGCTTTGAATGAAATTGCTCCGTTTCACCGATGCCATACATAGTTTCTTTTTCTGAAATCTGGGGGCGGAAGACTAGTTGAGAAGATATGGTGACAGGTTACAGGAGGAAACCGAAAATGAGAGGGCTAGGCTAAACAGACACACATTGTTCCTCTCTCTGTCTGATGGGGATGACACTTACCCAATCTGAGGATCTGTGAGGGTGAGTAGGAGTGAATGAAGGTGTCATGCATGACTGGGTGAGTGAGGCTGGTTTCTCCCTGCTTGTCAGTTAGGTCTGCACCACACACACATCACCCACTTCCCGGGAACAAGCTCCTTAGCCACCCCAAAGCCTTCTCTTGGCCCAACCCTGCTTCTGTATCTTTGCAATCAAGTTCTGCATCTAGCTACATGCACAGAGGCACCCATGCATCAGTTTGGGCCTGATAAGTGCAAATTGACCCCCAGCAAAGAGTGGGACATGAGCCACAAAGGGGAGCAGGCAGAGGCGTCTACCTTGCTGCATGAGAGCTCCAACTCCGAACCAGAAACTATTTAGCAACGTGAAATTGTTTTCCACCACGTCAGAGTCTGGGTTGCAGGGATGAGGGTTATACCACTCATAGGGACTAAACCTGTGGCAATTGACAGAGAAGAACACACAGTTTTAGCACAAGAACGAACGTCGGAATTCTTTCTTGTAAATAAAGCTCGGTTCACCTGTAGAGATAGCGGGAGAGACAGATGTTAAACACCGATTAAGGAAACAATCACAATGCAAATTTATAGAATAGAATACAAAGTTATCATCATAAAAATTAACAAATCTCAATGCGTACAGATAGCATTAGAGATGCAAATCATTTTATGCTGTTCAGTACAATAAAACAGTACGCAAAACTAAAAGAAAAGAAACATATATAATGGACACTTGTTAACATTTACATACAGCACTTAGCATTAGTTAGATGTTAATATCTTTGTTTAGATAAAACATAAAATATATGTGACAACTCCATTGTGAAGGGATACATTATAAACAACCGTTATTGCTTGAAAAATCTAAAGTTAATTAAACTCATTTTCTTTTTTTTTTCTAATTTCAGGCAGCTGTCTAGCCAAGTGAAAAGTACATTCTGGAATATTCATATTAAAAGAAAATAATTCTGCAATTTAATCAATGAAATCTCAATAACTTCTTTGTCACTTTGGAAAAAGCAATCATGATAATCTTTCAAACTTATTAAAATTCATGAGATCAAACACTCCGTTCTCATCATCCCAACATGATATTGCACACCCACTCCCTACACACACACTTCACAGGCAAAGAGATTTCCATTTATTTATGTTAAGTAAAAGTGACATTACATTAGTAAAGGTTGATTGGGCTACAATTAAGTATCATGACCTGATTTCTTTACTCTGAAGTGCTAAGATCAGAAAATGGTTAAAGTTAAGCTAGTCACAATGAGAAGCGATGAATAATCAAATGATGATGAAGTGGTCTTTAGACATTAGGTCCACAAATGCCTACTTTTTTACATTACACTGGCAGGAACCCCTAGCCATAAAATATGGGAGTAACTTAAATCTCTTATGATTTGAACAATCGGCAGGCTTTCAGAAATCAGGAAGGTATGGTCACCGTTCTCTAACTTGAATCGGTGTGTGTCAACCTGCTGGCTGGTTTGTTTGCCAATCTGTGGTACCAATCAGTATTTCATTTAAAGTCTGACCCCCATAAATGCCTGATTTATCACCCAAGACACTGCACAGAAGGCTGATTAAATGCACGAGGCAAAAAAACAAGTGGACACACAGGCAAGACTGCTCTCCTCAACCTGGTCTAGTGACATAAAGGATGTAGCGTTAAATGAGATCATTGTGCCCAGTCAGGATGAGGGAAATTCTCTGCCTTGTATGAGCTTGCCTGATCAGGTTTACCAAAACCAGCAAAGCTCAAATTCCTCATATTTATTCCTACATTATGGTTCTCTTTCTTGATATGCATCCATATTCTTCTAAAATAATCCAATTAAGTAAGCTGACGCAGAACTCCAGATCTGGTCCTCGAGGACCGACAGTCGGTCCATGATTTTTCTTCCTTCGATCTCCCAGCCAGATATTTTTGCTTCCGAGCTGGGAGGGAGCAAAAACCTGGACTGTCTGTGGGTGTCCGACCACACGGACATAGGATATAGGGCGGACTACACCTTAGATGAATAGCCCATCACATAAGAAGCAGCGAGAACATGAGCAGTGCATAATGTCAGCAATGAGAGTCTCTGATGTGTTTAAAGTTACTTAGCAGTTGCTTAGTTTTGCAGTTAGTGGACAATCAAGCACCAAAGAGAAGAAGAGCAGCAAGAAGCGAGGTGATGACAAAGTGCCAAAATGATGAATAGTGAAAACTGCTGTGGCGTAGAGGGATGCTTGGTGAAAGGCGGCCGCATTAGGGCCAGGAAACTGCGATGGAGACGGTCACAAGCAGGACACTGCCAATGCTGATGTACTGATTCAAAGGACTTTGAGTATTAGAAATAGGATTGTGGGACTATGGGATTTTGTATTAGAGCCATTTTGGCAGGGTTTGTTTATTTCTACAGGGATACTCTAAAAACATGCCTGCCCAGTTAATGCAGAAAGCTTAATGGCATGCTGGCTGTACCATCATTGGCCTGAAGGGGCAGTGTGTGGCTGAGCGGGTTAGGACACTGGCATGAAAACTGTAAAATCCCAGGGTCGGCAGAGTGATTCGCGTTGGGGGCATTGAACAAGGCCATTAACCCCAATCGCTCTCTGCTTTCTCAATAATGTATGTCGCTCAGGAGAAAAGAGTTTGTTAAATAAAATGCAAGTCTGCAGGAGAACTTGCACCTGCCAATCAAAATCAGGCTCTTGATCACCTGATAACAGCTAGACCGCCAAGACGCTGAAAGGCTGGCATTGGGAAGATATGTGCGTGAAATCGCCTGGTGCTGCTTAGCTATCGCTTTCATGACATGTGGCGTGAGATTATGAATCATGGCAGCGGGCACAAAAGATACGGGGTGGAGGGGTAGGAGAGACAGTGGCTCTGGTTCATAAACCTGCCTACCATTCTGGGTGAGAAATCTACCAGTGCTGCTCCTGGCTACTGAGGATTAGTACTGATCACAGTTTTCCAGGGGGCAATAATAAATCGAACAAAAATCTATTACCTATTATAGCAAACAAGGTGAATATTAACCGCCGACCTCTTGTTAAGGAGACCGAACATTGTTCCAAGAATCTGAATCAAGGCTATTTAGTGATGTAAGGCTCTTGGCTGCAGAGTTGATGGCTAAGCAGCGTAATGAGGGGCGGAATCGGGGGCTAGGACATGAAGATGCTGGAAGCAGATGCAGTAGGTAGGCTGCATGTCAGTGAATAGAGTGGGACCATTACAACCAGGGTGTCTTCTAGGGACAAGGCCATAGGCGGGGGGGTGGCAAGCAGTGTGAATAAGGAGAACATGGAGACAGAGAAATCTAATTGATACAGACTAAATGTAAATGTTGGACTGTTTAGTGGGACTGATTTCCCATGCATTATGGAACTGCTACCATTTAGGGTAATGGCCAAAGGGACATATACAGTTGTGGTTTATCTCTTTTAGGGAATCATCCTGAAAGTCGTACTCCATGGTTTGGCAAGGAACTTTTTTTCGTTTGTTTTCTACAGTTAATCATTACAGGTTCCTGATGCCCAGACCTCCATTCATCTTTTACTTGTTCATTCAGTAAGAGATTATGGGCTGTGATGGTGGCATGTGCTCTAGAGTCTCTATAATCCTGAAATGTAATTGCCATATATAAACGGCATCACATACTTTGTTTGTTTTTAACCTAGGCCCTTGAAAAAAGAAGTTATGGGACGTTTATGCATTGTTAATGAAAGACTTCCCTCAAACTTCCCTCGAAAATTTAGGCTAGAACTTTGAAAAAGTTGAGAATGAGGTGACGACGGGGACAGCGGAGACTGGCATCAGACGGGGCTGAGTTACCCTGCCCAGGAACAGGGAAAAGGGGCGCCCGCCATATTGCCAATTACATAGAGGACACAAACTTCAACATGTTATGCAGATGCTAAAAAGCCATGTGGACATTTCAGGAGCCAATGCCTTCATCTGGCTGAGGTATGACTGCGAGGGGAGGTAAAACCATCCATCCACCCGGGGGTGAACCAGACAGACACGGGAGGGAAGAAACATCTGCTGCAAAGTATCATAGGACTGCGCAGCCATTTGTAATGTAAAGCACAGTAAAACATGTGAAACATCTCAAAGCGGTGAAATACCTTTTCGTGAGGGATGATAATGGAGCCGTTATTCTCACTTTTACTGTAATGCTAATGTACCTATTCAGTATGCTGGCGTACTTGGCCCATGTTGAGAAAAACGGGCAGGAATGCTCACCACACACAGTGCTAGTGAGGAAGCGTTCCTAACAATGTCATTTTCACAGTTTCACGTACACAAAAACAGTTTATTCCGCAGAATAATAGCTTTGCGACTACCGGGACTGTGCATGTGTGTGTTGGGGGGGGGGGGGCGCAAACTAATTCAAAGAGTATTTTTAGGAGGGAGCAGTTGGTGGGAGAAATTAGATAAGACAAATAACAAATGCACCATTCGGGTGACCTCTGCCTAATCTTTGACAATAATTCAGCATGCATGAAGACCTAAGGCACTTCTGTAGCTGCCCTGTGTGAGCTGCAAGGCCCTTTCCCCTCTCCATTGACCACCCCCCCTCACACACACACACACACACACACACACACTGCCTTTGCTTCTTTGACCCAACAAAACAGGCTTCGGGGGCGACCCAACTTGTGGGGGATTTAAACCACAACATTCCTTGGAAGTAAACACTCCCCTGAATCCGCACACATCAATTAATTTACAGCTCAGGCAATACAACAATTAACGTTGTGCTAAGATTACCATCACTTGAGATTTGCTTTACTTTTCCTTTCTAATCCCTTTGCTTAAATAATTACAGGCTATTTGTGTTGTTGCTCTGCAGCAAAAACATGTTGAAACAATGGCCAATTGTCTCCCCAAAAACTGGTGTATTTTGTCACACTAATTTTTGGTGTTCACATTATAGAGAGCAGTAACAATGCTGTTTCGCCATATCCTTAAACCATAATTAATCATCTGCACAAGTAACCATTGTAGAAAGAGAAGCCTAATTAAACACTCCGATTACAAGGCTAAGTTATTCACCTCAAACAATGTTGTAAAAAGGCCTAAATTTAAGCAAAAGCAAAACAGAGGAAAAAGAAATAATTTTTCCCCAAAATGACTAGGCAATAAAGCTCCTCATTATAGAAAAGTTCTCTCTTTCATAATCTGCTCCACAGAACACAGGGACAAAAAAAACAAATGAAAGAGAAAGATCAACTATGAAATATGCAGAAAATACAAACATCCTGAATATTTTAGTTTTGAATGGCAAGTAAAAGATGTTCTCCTTAAATTGTAAATATCAGGTGGTAACCCTGTGATTTAGTGGACATTCTCTCTTTGTCTCTCACACAAACACACACACACACACACACACACACACACAAAAACAGGGGCATGCGCACACATACCAGCAGCCATGAGCATACCATACACAAACATTTCCAAACCAAATCAGGTCTTCATGTTTTTTTTTTTCTCACAGACTTAGGCTAACATCTGTGGTAATGTTCCTAAGGCTGAATATCAATAAAAGGGCGAAAGAGACGAGCATGCCGATAAAGTTCTCATTTGTTTGAAATATGAGCATAAGATAAACAACTTGAATCAGAAAATACAACTTACCCAGTTGTGTTTTTACGAGTTCTTAAACAGTTAGGTGCATATTCTGAACCAACTTAGATGACAGTTGCAGCTTTGTTTTTCTTTGTGTGATCATATTGCCAGTAACATTGGAAAAATGGACATTAACCTTAAAACTCTCGGGATGGAAGATAAAATACTGCTGCTGGCCCAAAAGTTCTAGGGTTAATTATTTGTTTTTTCATTTCTTCTCTTTTTTTCCACCATGCTTCAGCTAATATCCATGTTCTTAGAGTGAATACAAAAAAAATCTACATGGTCACACTATTGTTTATTTTTAAAACCCAGGGGAGTTAAAAGTTTGAAGGACTGAGAAGATCCTAGGTTCTCCTTAGAACAAAGCCTGACCACCTGATAAGCCCAAGCCCCTGCATATCATCTACTCTCCTCAGTCCAGACGCCCTACATGACCATGTGACCTATTGCAGAACCCTCCTATAGATGTCACCATAATTCTAACCTTGAAGTAGGAGGACATCACAGGATCTATCAGAGCCTGCATAAAAGAAGTTTCCAGTCATTTCCCTGCTAGGTACACTTATTAAGGTCCACCTTCATCTCTGCCCAGTAAGGGGAAGGTTTGGATCATTGGTCTTTCTCAGATTCTGCGAATTCTTCCGCTCAGGGGGTCCAATGGAAAACTCCAGTGAACATGACTAGACATTACCAGCCATGTTCAGACAACAGAGACAGAGATGGCAAAGACAATATAAAAAAAAAACTTGAAGAAACATATCTGCATAGTAAAGAAATATGGCTACACATGTACCCAGTCTATAGGATTTTTTTAGCACGATGAGCTCAATAAATCATAATTGGATATAAAAAATAAAAATAACACACTGGCAACCAAATCCAATAAATTACAGTAATGGCATAATTTACAAATTGATCCAACCTTAACACTGATCTGTCACATCAAAGGAGAGAAAGTCTGTAGTTAACGTGGGACTCAATATTGTTCTCCTAGACAGTGGGGCAATTCATGGAAAAATTAAGTTTGTCCTCCTGGAATGGCAACATCGTAAAGAAGGGAAAGAGTTTTGTGCCGACATGCTGGCATTTAATTTTCACATGACAACAGCCTTTCTGACAGCTGATTAGATTTGCATTGAACACCACGGCAAAACAGTTATCCATTTTAGAGCGTTTGATAATTCATCAGCGCCCTTCAGCCAACAGTAAATGTCAGCCCTCCATGTGATAGGAATATGAAATCTATCCTTATACTGGCTTATTAAAAGCACCACCAGTCACTGAGCATAATTAAAGCCAATGAAAGGCACACAACAAAAAACCAAAACACCATGTATCAATTGGGATTTACTCAAATGTAAATCCATTCACAACAATTAGGTTTAATTTTTGTCACAATGACATTGGCTAAAGTTAATCTAGCCTCACTCTGGTCTTCACGGCCGTGTGAATTTACATTGCAGAAGCGTTATTTGTGATTATCCCAAGGAAGAAGGGCTGGAGAAGGAATGCATTTTTGAAAGTTAGATTTAGAAAATGTGCCCAACCGCATAAACATTACAGCTAATTATAATTAGCCAGACTCATTCGTCTCTTTGCCAGCACATTCTTCATTATAAATTTGAGTGTGGAAAGAAAAGGGAAAATAATGGTTTATGAATCAGTGTCTTTGGTTCTACTGCCCCTGAATACTATATTTATACCAAGTATGCCCTGCCAGTGACAACAATACTCCTAAAACTGCTTTTTTCCACCCTTTTATGGGCCAGAATACCATAAAGTCTCACTATTACTCCATAAAAAATAATCCACAGCATTTGAAGCATGATGAAAAGAATAGAGAGAAGAAATGAAAAATAGTTATAATGCTTCTAACAGGATGAAGAGGGGCAATGATTGTGCTTGGACACTCTGTGCTTCTGTTTCTCCTCAGGCACGCACACGTGCAAGCACACGTGCAAGCACACATGGACACGCACATATATACGATTTCTCTCCCCTGGGAACGTGGGTGCGTGCAGGGTTTGAGCATGGTGTCCTCTGCACCAGGGTTCAAACTGAGCTAACTTGTAGAACGAGAAGAAGTCAGCAACTGTTCCGATTGCTCTAGGAGGGCTGAGCCCCAAGCTGGGCTGGGCTCAGGCACCCAAAGCTGATTTCAGATAAAGCAAACCCCTCTCACAATGAGTTTGTGCTCACATATTCTCAGCACTACTAAATCAGAAACCAGCACTTGCGAGAATTTTGCCGACAATCTAAATTGAGGTCTGTTTGTATTATACATTATTCAGACATTCGTATTGGGAGTTTTTCTCAGCTCATTTTCCATGTTTTGGTTTCATCCAACTGCTTTTCATCTTAGCCTTATAACATTACAGTGGCAGGAACATGGAATTGGACTAGATTTTGCAGAAAGCATCACTCCATTGTTTGGTATTTTATTTTGTGATTTTATTATTATACGTGACAAGCCTCCTCACAATACTTAACACTGGGAGGCCGTGCGCAGACTTCTGATTGAATGAATGAACCAGAAAAAAGGCAAGTGAAGAAGAGAGACATGCCAACACAACAGCTTATTGGCTGGTTAAACATGCCTCGGTTGGTTTGGCCAATTAAGGCCAGGACCTTCAACCAATCATAACAGTCTGATTTGCATGGTCTAAATCATGTTTTGTAATGCTTCTTTTTAGAAATCATTCTTGATCTGTGCATTTTGCAACACAGACAGTGATATACCACTGAAACAGATCTCACTAGCATCCGTCAGCGGAATTCTACCCAGTGCCAGAATCTTTTTTTATCAGAAAGAGATTAAAGTTAGTGTGAAAGGTTAATGGCATGTGTATTTGTGTGTGTGTGTGTGCATTTTTAAAATCACTGAAACGGACATGTTACCTGGCTATGACAAACAGCACACAACTGACACCCAAGTAAGCCAGCAGAATATACATCCAGATATCAGGCGAGAGCGGGTTGAGGAAGGAGAAAACTCCGGGGTTTGTACCATTGGGCTTCCGGTACAAAATACTTATCCCCAGTGTCATGAAGGGTTTGGAGAAGTCGATGACCTTCTCCCTCACGTAGGTAATAGCCAAAGGAGCCACTGCAAGGTCAGCTTTCTGTGGACACAAAGCAGAGCAGCGGAGAGAAACGGACCATAAGTCATGGGAGGGAGATGCATTAGAGGCAATCCAATTACGGAAACGAGTCCTGTGCACACGAGAGACAGTAACCGCTGCTGGCAAGTCAAAATTTAAAGGCCTTGTTTATCAGTTAAGGAGTGTTGATTTAGCAACTGCTGCTTCAACAGTTCTGCTCCGCTGTAAGTTTCTAAGGACGGCCCCAATCCACGGTTACCGGGCGAGAGTGGGGGTGCCCCAGAAGCAGGGGTTACTCCTGGGGGAGGACCTGAGAGAAAACTGCCTTTTCTTGGACTTTGGGCATTTTTAAGGTTCCCCCCTCAGCCATATAAATTATGAGAGCTCATTAAATCTGTGGCAGCGTCACGTGTCGGATTAGTCAAATTTGATGATTTGCTAAGTAAGAGTCTAAAAATCTGTGACTGCATTTTAAAAACTAAAAGTCTTTTTATTTGGTTACTTTTAGTTAGGGTTAGGACTGGTAGCGGTTAAGGTTGTCATTCTTTTGATTAGGGTTCCTGTTCCTGTGATGGACTGGCATCCTGTCCAGGGTGTCCCCCAGCCCTGTGTCCTGTCCAGCATAAGTACCTGGACAATGAATTTCTGTGCTAAAATTATGATGAATATTGTTTTGAATAGACGTACAGATATATATTTATTATCTAGTCATTGGTGTAAAGATGACTCAAATAGGTACTGGCTGGATCATTTCTCTTGATTTGTGATTTGCTTTTGACACTGAGGAACAAATTAGAGTAAGTCCACTTCACTTCACCTGAACAGCCTTCTTCTGAGGAAAACTTTTGATGTTTAGTAATGAACGCAAAGTAAGGCAAGTGTGCTTAAATTAGTCATTTAAAGTTAAAGAGACATTTGTGCAGATTGAATCAAGGGGAGGTTCAACAAAGAGAAACTGTCTGATTAAAGGAAAAATATATATTTAGGTCTCTTTTCCACAGTTTGAAGGAATTTGCATTAATGTGAGGTTCATCCTCCTTTACCTTATCATTTGACAAACCTTTAAGGGGTTTGTCTACGGAAGATGAATTGTGCATGTTCCCTTTTGTGCAGAAATCGGGGAATTAATCCACCCACACATTTCATGGGAAACAGGATCCTCTTTCTGTCACGGGTAATTAGACTCTCTCCTCATGCTGGAGATCCAACAGGGCAAACTGCACTTTGCGATCAATAACCGATATCTCCCATCATGTGGTGTTGAGCCTGGAGCGAAGAATCGATCTGATTCACACCTGCTTATGCTCGCTCTTCATGGTAAGCCCCCCTACAAATCAAACTGAAATCATCGTCCCTACAGTTTAAAGCCTATATACCAGCAATGTTTTTATATAAAAACATTTTTTATCTTTTAAGAAGTGCTTTGGGGCAAAACAGAATACCCCCCCCCCCCCACCCCCAGCAATAACACAGCCCACCCGTCTTTCCTTCACTATATAACCAACCTAAGGGCTGCATTTTACTCATTTCAACCCCCTGGCTCTCAGATTATGCAGGGAGAGCACACAAATGAGGAGAATGAATCTAGATTTGTTTGCCGATGTAGGGAATTGTAATTCAATAATACCAATTTCTTTGGCTAAAGTTGGTAATTGAGTGGTAATATGATTAAAAAGTGTGGGATGATTCCAGACAAATTGCTTTTCCTCGTGCGTACCTCCGCAGCGCAACAATGCAACACGTCAGTTTCAATTTAGGCATTATACAAGCAACGTGATGTAATGTTATTAAACCACTTTGGTTGTAATTTGATTTGCTAAACATGAGAGGACAAGGGTTCAGCATCTCAGCATCAAGACTGGGGGTGTAAGTGTGCAGCTGTGGCATTAGGCAGGATACCACAAGCTTCCTGTAACTGTCGACGAGCCCTTCCCTTTACACAGGTCCTGACTGGCTTCTTGTACATGTTATACTGTTTTAATGAGCACTTTCAGCACATCCCAAGTTCAATGCCTCCCTGGGTAAACAAGGGAGGGGCTTGCATTGCACTTCTTTAACCAATCACTGTTTTCATTGTATGACATCACCGCATTCATTAAATCCAAAATTCTAAAGTACTTGTTTGATTTTGTGTATGCATTTTGATAAGACACGTAAAATGATAGAAGTCAATGATAAATATAGACATAGGAACAAGCTTACCTGCAATGGCTATACAGAGCAATCTAAGGGTGCATCTTTATTTAATGAAGATGATGATGAAGATAATAATAATAACAACAACAACAACAAGGATTGAACCAGCAACCTTCTAATCACAAGCACAATGGCTTAGTCTACACTGCTGTGGGAAAATGAGAAAAAAAATGTCATACGATGAAGACTATATGATTGGTTAAAGACATGAAACTCAAGCCCCTCCCTTGTTGACCCAGGGACATATCGAACTCGGCAAAATCCAAATGTCCAGCACTGTCATGACAAACTAATGATTTGTTTACAAACACTTGCTTTCAATAAACACAAACTCTCAACCTGAACGATCTAAATGCTTCAACGGAAGGATTACTACTGAAACAGAATCATACACAACACTGAAAGCCTCATGACTTTATTTCTAGCTTATCAACTGCATTAGTAGAGTAACTGAGACTCACGTGGTCCATGAGCTCCTTGACGATGCCGTTCCACTGACCAGTCGTTTCCTCCTGTGCGCCATACTTGCCATCCTCAACCAGGCGCACCTCGTAGCTGAAGCCCAGTATGTTAGCGAGCTCACGCAGGAGGTCAATGCAGTAGCCCTCAAAGCGATCGTTGCCATACAGAGGCTTGTCTGACTTCTTGAACATGACATAGGGCTCCTCCTGTAGCAGCGGACAGAAAAGAGTGACCAGATCATGATATGGGCGAGGCTAGACTCAGCACGACAGCCTAGCTGGATAACACCTGTTATTCCAAAAGCTTCCGTTGTCTGCTCACGCACGGATATCTGGAAGAAAATCAGTTCTTGGGGGTAAAGAATAAAGATCAACACATGGCCTTTCTGATACTCTACACCAGTAGAAGGTGCCAAAAGCATCGCTTGCCAACAACGGAATAATCCTTCATATCTCTCACTTGTGCTTTCATGCTGAAAGTGACCCATGCGAAAGATTAAATACAGTGATATGCTGGGGTACAGGCGCCAAAGCGCACTGCTGAGCTTTGTGAAGCTGAGGAGATTACCTCTGCTCCTTCAGCCTCCATCTGCCTCCATCTCTCACTCTCTCTACCAGACTCTGCCAAAGCTCATGAAGTACAGTAGATTATTGCAGGCATTTGAAGGTAGCTGAGACTTTTAGACTGAGATATGATGTCAAGGCCACACGTTATGACGAGCAGAGATAATGCAAGCTTTTCTCTTGAAACTGCTGAAACATTTGGGCTGCTGTGATCAGTCAATGTAGTCAATGATGTCAACACTGAAAATACGTCAACATCAACATTTTAAATCAACACATTGTTTTTTAAATTCTTTTAATGGAATTACCATTATGATTTCTAAAATGCTTCAATCCATTATAACAAATGTTTTCTTTTAATATCACTATGTAGTAGTTCAAATTATCAAAAAACAAAAAGGTGGTTTTACACTGTGCAAAGTTCGAATGCATACCACAGGGCACTAACGCTATGCACGAGTGCCTGAAGCGAAAACACACAGGCGCTATTCTGGACGACGGACCCCCAGAATAGACAAAGTGTTCTCTGTTCATGTTTATTAAATTACCACTAGTACGGAGAGCTTCTTAATATCTTTTGTTCTTGTAGCTGCTAAATAGACTCATTATTAATGCCAAAGATGTCTGCCTGCTACCCTTACCTGAATTTAGAATCGCCATTGAAGTGTTTAGGCCAAATATTTAGGCCAAAGTCTGGGCTTATTCTATGTGGATTGATGGTGCCAGTGTGTGTTCATGCGCATTGGCTTGCTGGGACCAGTGTCGTGATCGTAAACTAAAACTGAAACAAAAACAGAGACTAAATAAAGTAATTCGTGAACTGAAATAAAAATGAAAATTTACAAGAAAAGAAGTGTCAGACTTTAATCAGCAAAAAGCACCTGCTGAGCTGTCCCTACCTTGACTTCAGTGCTCATCGTTTCCAAGATTTTCCAAAACAGTCACATGTGGCGTGCTCAACTAACCGAATATAATAAACATAAGGGCAAACCGTATTTATGAAGAGTAATAACTTTTGGGCGTCAAAATTAATATTTTAGGCATTCTACTAATTTGCTTATAGAATTGTGGGAGAAAATAATGTCCGTATAGTGCTGAAAAGCCAGCTTCCATTATCTAAAGCCCTGCAATAACCTTGTTGTTGTCAAAATAAAATTTACTTAAATTAAATGGTCTGTTTGATTTTCTGGAGGAAAATGAATCGTTTAGATTAATTGACTAATCAGTAAAATAGTTGATAGATTAATCCACAAAAAAATTGTGGGTAGTGGCAGCCCTAAAACACATACACTTTGCAACAGCATAAAAACTAAGAAAATAGTTTTTAAAGTTGGATATGTTTTTGTTCCTATTTATTTATTTATTTGCATACTTATTTTCTCATGAAAAAAACAAACAAATAAGACAGCTGCATTTGAATCCTTCTGAGGTCTATCTTGCAATGATTTCCAGGGCAACAGCCAAAGAATCAAGCATGTATTGGTAATTCAATATTGTATTGATCCTTATACACGAGACACAGCAATAGTGCAAATGGGTCGCTTGCAATGACAGATAAAAGTCAATTAAATCACCACCCAGACAGCCTCTCTCACATTCCATTTGCATATTTATTACCAATAATACTGCAAAGGGACAACTCCATCATAATATTATTTGTGTTGAAGAGAATATGACATTTCTAAGCACACAAACAACCACCTGCACTATTAAGAAGAAGATATTTCTGGGCATTAACCCAATAACCCAAACAAGACCAGTAAGTACGTAAGCAATTCATCCATGCTTCTTGTAACTGGCTGTGCCTTACAGGTCACAGGAGGAAGTGCATGATATCCCATACTGCTTAAGACACAAGCAGAGCCAGATATCTGGTGAGAGGAACACATACTCACTTTCTATTGTCAGTTATAAATGCATGTCCTTGAAGTGCAGAAGGAAAATGGAGAGAACATGCAACCTCCAAGAGCATTCGAAGCCCAAATCCTAGAGGTACAGTATCAGTCAATGATGTGATCAACTCTGCCACTGGCTACTTCAGTGAGGTCTAATCCCTTAGCCTTTCAAACAGGCTAAAATGTTCTTACCCAACTATTTATCGTTGGTTGCATGAGTGAAGTTTTCAACAAAATTACATCAGTCCCTTACTATAGCTTAGCAATTAAAACAAACAAATTTAAACCAAATCCATCAAATCTCACAATACTGTACCAATTTCCAAAGACAGCAATGCTTTTTCTATACAGAAAGATTCATATGGAACTCACTACACAGCAAGATATTACTTTTGTTTATTTACTGGCAGATACTATAAGCCAGAAGCGTATACCTGAAATATCCTAACTGAAGCAGAAATTTGTAATGTGATATAAGGAAGTAAATACCCTAAGACTGTGAAAGGGAGCAGCAGCTTGAACAGCAAGGGGATCCACAGAACAACTGAAGACAGACTATGTGCATCAAATGTTTACTCTGCTTACACACCTTGAGTAAAAACAGAACACCGTGGCACAGGGGCAGACTGGCAGCAGAAAGTAGCCCGGGAATTGGGGGGGGGGGCAGGGGTTCATTACCATCTCCTGTGATCGACCTGGAAACGCTGAGATCGATCAAGGGGCTGGGCATTCCTGGTATATAGGCTATATAATGCCGGGGCAGCCCTGGTATATAGGCTATATAATGCCGGGGCAGCCCT